AAGCCATTTTTGCTCGAAATCGGTTCAGAATACGAAGAGATCACATCTTGGAAGATGCTTACAATCAAATGAGTGCATTGTCAGAAGATGATCTCCGGGGATCGGTATGTTCTGTCTCTTGCCTGATATTTGTCCTCAAGCAGTTACATGTTAACAGTTGCAACAGATGCGTAAATTCTTTCCTATGTCTCTGTTTTGGTTTTCATTTGTAATATTTATAATGCAAATAACTACTGGCTGTAGATTCGCGTGACATTTGTCAATGAACTTGGAGTTGAGGAAGCTGGTATTGATGGTGGTGGCATTTTTAAAGACTTCATGGAGAAGATTACCCGAGCAGCCTTTGATGTGCAATATGGGTTGTTTAAGGTCGCATGTCTAGTTTTACTCAAGTTTTTGTGGATTTTATAATTTACCACCTCCATCATTTTTGCATGTAATCTGGCGTTTTTAAAAAAAAAATCTTGTACTTGGTTTCTTTCAGGAGACCGTTGATCACATGCTTTATCCTAATCCTGGATCAGGAATGGTACATGACCAGCATCTCCAGTTCTTTCATTTTCTCGGCACTCTTCTCGCAAAAGTATGTTTCTATATAAATTTTATTAATTTGGCCTTCTTTTTTCCTTTACTGCAGCTGATTTTCCATCTTTTAAGAAAAGACTCATGAAATGTTTTTTTTCCCGTTTTGTTGTTGCAGGCTATGTTTGAAGGGATTCTAGTTGATATACCATTTGCAACGTTTTTCCTCAGCAAATTGAAACAAAAGTACTGTTAATTTGATTTCTACCTTCAATATTTCCTGACATTTCATTTCTTTGTTAATCCCACAGACCTTGTGATACGTCGTTAAACTTGTATTTATCGTTGGCTAGGTACAACTATTTGAACGATTTGCCTTCTCTGGATCCTGAGTTGTATAAGCATCTCATATTTCTGAAGGTCAGTGTTCCTCAGCATCTATTTCCTCTTATTTTGTGGAACCGAGAAATAACTGTTAGCATATGTGAAAGAATGCTGAAATCTGTATGTGTTCCTGTGATGATTTTATGAGCTTTTTTAATCCACCACTTGCAGCGTTATAAGGGTAATATCTCAGAGTTGGAGCTTTACTTTGTTATTCTCAACAATGAATATGGAGAGAGGACAGAGGAAGAGTTACTTCCAGGGGGCAAAGACATGCGAGTTACAAATGAGAATGTTATAACTTTCATTCATTTGGTTTCAAATCATCGGTTGAATTTTCAGGTACCGGCACTTTCTCTCTCTCATTTGTTTTAGCATGCTTGAGGCCATAACTTCTGATATAATCCCATTTTTTTGTGTTGCAGATACGCCAACAGAGTTCTCATTTCTTGAGAGGGTTTCAGCAACTCATTCCAAAAGAATGTATCGACATGTTCAATGAACATGAGCTTCAGGTGCCATGGATAACTATGCTCTGGATGGTTAAAATTTGTTGCTAACCTGTTGTGGGGTTTTGGGTGCAGGTTCTTATATCTGGTTCAGCTGATAGTTTGGATATTGACGACTTGCGTCAGAACACTAATTATACCGGAGGCTACAACGCTGTGAGTTGTTTTTTGCTGTAAGCAGAAATGCCATTCATTTATGTGATTGGAATAGTGTTATATGATAACATCGCTGTGTTTCTTGACAGGGACATTATGTGATTGATATGTTCTGGGAAGTTCTGAAAAGCTTCTCAACCGAGAACCAGAAGAAGTTCTTAAAGCAAGTCAAGTTCACCCTTACTACAACGATCTTTTACCCAATTATCAGAGGAGTCTTTTTGTGTGTTTCTTCAACGGAACTGAGAGGTAACTAACATCCATCATCTTAATTTCCAGATTTGTGACAGGCTGTTCGAGAGGACCACTGCTCGGTTTCAAATACTTGGAACCTGCATTCTGTATACAAAGGTAAGGATTCATAATGATTTTGGCTTTTGAAGTTGCTTTGGGGAAGCAACACAAATCATTAAAGATGCATCATCGTCGTTGGGACTGTGTTTCAGGGCTGCAGGTAGCGCGAGTAATGAAGCAGTTGATAGACTACCTACATCAGCCACTTGTATGAACCTTCTCAAGCTTCCTCCCTATCAAAGGTTTGTTCTCCCATAATACATAATCAATGTTTTGTTTTTTTGCGCCCATTTCAAGTAAACTCATCATCCTGCACCTTGATGCTATATAACTGGAGAAAGCAAGTTAAAACAATTATTTGTCAATGATGCAGCAAAGAACAACTTGAGAGCAAATTGATGTACGCCATAAGCGCAGAAGCAGGTTTTGACCTGAGCTGAGTAGCTTTTGTGACTTTGTCGCTCGGAGAAAAAGATGAAAGACAAAGGGGTGGCTTGATTGAAGGAAGAATCAAAAGCATGTTTTCTTGGATGTGGAAGAAAAAATCCGTTTGTTTTTCTCTTTCTTTTGTAATATATATTCAAGGATGATGGTAAATATCTTTGAGTGCATAATAATAATACATAGGAAAGGAAACGTAACATTTTGGTTAGAGAAATAAGTCATCAGATTTGGAAGCAACCCCAAAATCACACAACCAGACAGAATCATACACTCAAAGTGTTACCAACTTGATATACTTCTCCATGTCTTTGTGTCTTGGTTGATTCATGATCAGTGAAATTACCTATAGCTCTTGTCTTTACCTAGAATCCTACATCACCAGATTATATAGGGGACTCGAGAAGGTGGAATAAGTCTTCTTTTATTGGTCAACTAAACTCCATGAATCACATCTGGTTATCTGAGAATTATTTCTATAGCCTAAAGAGTGTGTCATTACTATGGTTTTGTAACTCCATTGGGACCTGTGAAGCACATATATACTGCTTGCTAAGTTCAAAGATGACGTTAGCCAAGAGAAGATGGAAAAAAATTGGTGACGTCACGAACACCACTGGTAGTTAGCGGGAAAAGAGTATTTTTCGACCCCAACATTTCGGATCGTGTCTTTTTATACCCAAACAAATCAAAAGTGCACAATCATACCTGAACTAAAAGTTTATTTAACTTTTCGACCCAAACTTTATTCCGTAGCGTGAAAATCTATCTACAAAACAACGTCGTTTTGTAATGAATTTCTTTTTTAAAAAATAACATTGGCTGGGAATCGAACCATGGTCTCACGGAAATCATACACTTTTACTTACCGCTGTGCTATGAACCATCTATGGTGTTTCTATTAATTTTAAAATATCTATATTTGTTTGTAATGAATTTCTTTTTTAAAAAGTTATTTTGGCTGGGAATCGAACCATGGTCCCGCAGAAATTATACACTTTTAATTACCGCTGTGCTATGAACCATCTACTGTATTTCAATTAATTTTAAAATATCTATATTTGATTTGTATATTCTGAGAAAAAACTATTTTTGTTTACAATTTTTTAATACAAATTATAATTGCATCAGTAATTTATATATTTTAAGTTTTTTACACTATTACACATGTAATAAAACATTTCATAAATTATTCCATCTAATTTAAAATGACATTTATCAAATAGTTATCTTATTTTAAATATTTAAAATTTGAAAATCTACATAGTTTGTTAAAATCAAAACTTAAGTTTTAAAATAAAAGTGTACTAAATCAAAACTTAACTTTTAAAACAAAAAATGTACAAAATAAAAACTTATGTTTTGATTTTTAAGAGAAAATATAATCACTTATTATATGTAGATTCTTGATGCAATTATAATTTGGACTAAAAAAATTTGTAACCAAAAATAGTTTTTATACAAATCAAATATAGATATTTTAAACATAATAGAAACACCGTAGATGGTTTATAGCACAGTGGTAAGTAAAAGTTTATTATTTCCACGGGACGATGGTTCGAGTCCCAGCCAACCTAATGTTTTTAAAAAGAAATTCATTATAAACTAATATAGATATTTAAAAATTAATTGAAACACTGTAGATGGTTCATAGCACAGCGGTAAAAAAAAGTGTAGATGGTTCATAGCACACTGTAGATGGTTCGCGGGACCATGGTTCGATTCTCAGGCAAAGTTATTTTTTTAAAAAGAAAGTCATTACAAAACGACGTCGTTTTGTATTACTTAACGGTTGACTAACGCCATGTTAGTCAAGGTAGATTTTCACGCTACGGAGTAAAGTTTGGGTCGAAAAGTTAAATAAGCTTTTAGTTCAGGTATAATTGTGCACTTATGATTTGTTTGGGTATAAAAAGACACGATCCGAAATGTTGGGGTCGAAAAATACCCTTTTCCCGGTAGTTAGCACTACTCCCGCTCACTCGGTGGCATGCGAGTTTCATCATCCGTTCAATAATAGGAAAAGTGCCTATTTCAACCTGAACTTTACCCGTCGTGTCTATTCCTTCCCGAATTTTATAGTAGTGTGTAATCCTCATTGAACTAATCAAAAATATAAAAATACTACCTGAACTTTATGTACTGGTGGACCTCGAACCTCGCAACAAATAATTTTAAATTTTACAAAATTTTGACGTCATTTTGATAATTAACGGATGACTAACATCTTTGATGGTCGATATAAATATATAAGCACAATTTTGAGAGTTCATGTAATATTTTTTAATTTTTAATTTTACAGAATTTACCCAAAATGACATCGTTTTGATAATTAACGAACGAATAATATTTTTTTCGGTCAGCTTATATATAAGCACTATTTTGATAGTTTATGTAGTATTTTTGAATTTTTGTTAAGTTTATTATGGAATATACACTACTATAAAATTTGGGAATGAAAATGCACAATACATAAAGTTCAGGTAATATTTTTTATATTTTTGATTAGTTCAGTGAGGAATACGCACTACTATAAAGTTCGGGAAGGAATAGACACGATGGGTAAAGTTCAGGTTGAAATAGGCACTTTTCTCGTCTGATAACTACTGGTATTAAACTTGAGAGATTTATAAGAATTTATGCCTTTATTTGTTTTTTTTTAAGTTGTTACACTAGTAAATACGACATTTAATACTATTTGCCTTTGTATAAAATGGTGGAGAAAAACATACCAATGCTACACATTCTTTCAAACAATATAACGCGACGCGAAAAATAAGCAGGTATTGGCTGTGCTTCAATCAAGGTTTCACAATCAGATATACTATTCTGCGCTCTAAAAGCCGCCATAAATGCTGAGAAGTAGTCTTTGGAGCTGGCAAACCCTTTTGCTACATCGATCCCTTTAGTGGATTGTTCATAATCTGTCAAGCAAGACCCATATATCATCTTCAGATTTGGATCAGTTGTGGTGTTCACTAAGCCTTGTGTCATCCTTATGGTCTTGTACCCAAACCCTATGGTTTTTTTCATGACCATACCGAGAAGACCGTGTAAGTCAAGCGTGACTGTTTTTGGGTCAGAGTTTAGCCAAGCGATGCAGAAGTTTTTATAAACGGCCGGTTTTGAGCAGAGTTGGACGACTAATTCTTTTGTGACTTTGTCACTCGGAGTATAAGATGAAGAGAAAGGGGTCATTGATATGAGAACGAGAAGAGGAAGAACCGATAACATGTTTCTTGTGACACAAAGAAAAGCCATTTCCCTGTTTATGCGTTCTGAAAAAAGTTCAGTAAAACAAAGAGAATGGTTATGCGTGTTCTTATGTGTATGGAGTGTACTTATTGCTTTGTAAAAGTTTCAAGTCGTATTAGGTTAAGAATCTTGGTGAGGTTTAATGAAATATTGACCAGATTTGTTTCATTTATGAATTGTTTACTCAAATTTAAAGAATGAGATAAGAAGGAACGTGTCAAAAACTTAAGCAGAGACAACTGGAAAAGAATTAGGTAGTTTTCCATTAATATATTACCAAGATAAGATCATCATAATTGTAGTTAGAATAATTTATAAATCACACGGATAGGATCGGGTTCGAAAAGGTGATAAATACCTTGATTTCGAAACCTCCAATTACTCCATAATTGCCTGGATCTCAATTAACGGGATTATATATAATCTGAACCTCCAGTTACTCCATATCAAAAGAGTAACATTTGATCCAAACTTGTGTTCAACATAATTAGTAAAAATATCTTTAAGAGCATAACCGAACCAAATGGACAAATCTGGACCGATATTGGAAAAAAATCAATAGAATCAATCCAACAATGCAATCACACTGAATTAGGTTTACTCAATAAAAATGGATCAAGCAAACCAACGATCTAACTCGATGATTGTTTTACTTGAGCATTTCAAATTATTACAAACTGAAGGCATATGAGGCACAGTTGCTGAAATTCTTGTCTACACATATGCCTCAGCTCAGTAAAAGCTTAGCCCATCAAGTTGTGTGAAATAAAACCTCAGCTAAGTAATCGGGAACATTTACGAGCCTGTGCATCATTAATAATCAGGAACACTTTCGAGCCTCCTGGAAATATAGCAACCAAAGTTTTGTTGTATGAGACTATTAGCTAGACATTATGTGACAATCACAAAAGGTTGTTCAAATACATTTGAGATCGCTCTCTCCTCATAATATAATATATTATTTTTATATTCAATCAGTATCAAATAAAATTAAATATGTTATTAACTTCATTGAAAGTGCCACTAGCTTAAAGGTAATGGTAAAATATTTTTCCATTTGACTCAACCAACCTGAGTCGAATCCAAGGGTTTACTTGTTTATTTTTAAATCATGTAAAACGATGTCATTTCAGTTAACGAAGACCAACAATATTTTTTCTGTTAAATTTACTAACGGCGTGCTAAATTGGTAACTCAACAAAATCTTGTTAATACTTTTCCATTGGTAGCTCTATTGAAAGTGCCACTAGTTTAATGATAATGGTAAAATACTTTTCCATTTGACTCAACCAACCTGAGTTCGAATCTAGGGATTTACTTGTTTTTATTTTCAAATCATGTAAAACGACGTCGTTTCAGTTAACGAACGCCAACAATAATTTTTTTATTAAATTTATTGACGGCATGCTAAATTGGTAAGTCAACAAAAATATTGTTAATTAATTCTAAAGTCAAGGAAAGTTTTGTATTTTTTTATCAGCACAAATTTTCATGTTTCTTTTAGTAATTCGTGCAAAGATGAGATTTTTTTGGCTGAATTCCCTATATTCACTTGAAATCTATCAGAATTAAAAGGAAATATGAATGTCATACTCTGCAATCTTTGAACATTAATATTTTTTTCTTTTTAATGTATACTAGACTTTGACCCACGCAACCATGTGGGTGTTTTTTTACTTTTTATGTTTCATAATTAGTTATTTATTGTTTTATCTTTTATTTGTAAATTGTATTTGTTGGTGATATGTGTTGATGTTCAAACAACTATTTAGTATGTTACATAAATCATTTGATTTTTTTTGTTTATATAAAACTTATTATTTTCCAAGTATATATTTGTTTATAAAGCATACATTTTGGGCGGTTTGCATATATTAACACATAAATTCCAATAAAAATACAATTTTCTAATTTTAGATTTGATATATATATTTTTTTTACATCTCCGCTTTGAATTTCCTACCGGTAGGACCAACTACCTAGTTTACATTTTGTTGTTATAAAAAGTAAACGAATATATCTATATTTTATAAACAATAAATAGATGATATATATGTTGTGATATGAGCACGATTTAAGGAATATATCTGATCCAAAAAATTGCTAACTATTTGGTAAGATTTCATTGATATTAATTGAATAGTTAACTAAATATGGTTAGTTATCACGAAATTCTTGGAATTTTTATTCTAGTTTTGAATATAGGCGAATATTGTGTAAGGTAATATATTCATATCTCTAAGGCAATAAATCCGATAAATTTTTGAATAGTGGGTCCATTTTCATATTCTCCAACTGCATATTGTGACAAAGGTTCATAAACATGTAACCATCACTTACAGAGAGATCAATATTGACTTGTGCAATTTAAAATAAATAAAGAAAAATGATCAAGACATGACACGAGCAAGTTCTTAAAACAATGGCCATTTTCAAAAGATTTATATATTTTCAACTAAGAACATGACTAAGGATTTTTGAGAATTTTCTAAAACTTGAAACAATGGTCATCTTTAAGGAATTATATATCCGAAGCTAGCAATATTGAAGAACAATAGTCAAACGACTAAGTAAATGAATAAGACATGACCACAGGATTGATACCAATATATATATGTTTATGTTTATACCAATATATATGTTTATGTTCTTTATAGTAGATGATCTAACCTAAAAGATAAATACACATGAAATCAAATAGTATGTATGTGCTCACAATAAAGAGATGATTTCTATTAAAATATAAAGGGCAATTCTTTCAAATAGCACTCTTTTAAGTTTTTATCACAAAATAGATCTGAAAAATTAAAATGACCAAAATATCATTATTTATTTTGAAAATTCTAGGGTTTTTTTTTTAATTTTTAAAATTTGAAACTCTATCCCCAAAACTCTACTCCTCAACGCTAAACAAAAAAGTCTAGAATTAGTTAACTCAAGAGATATAAATGTATATTTAATAAAATATTTAAGTGTTATTTTGGTATTTTTAATTATTAAGGTCTATATTTGTGACAAAAAAATTTTTAAGTCTATCCTAGTCATTTTCTCTAATACAAAAATTTTATTGTGTTATTCTAATAACATATATGACATGATTCTGTTAAACTATTATTGTTACTGTGATACTTAATGTGATATTAATATGACCATAAAAAATAAGATAATTAAATATAATGACTTCTAATAGATGGTCTAATTTAAAATATCACACGTTAAAAGAGTCATGATTTATGTTTTAACATATAAGATGTGTTATTGTATATATAATCAGACTAAGTAAAGAAGATTCACCAGACTTTGACCAAAAAAAAAAAAGAAGATTCACCAGACAAGAAAATTTAAAGTGAATATCTCTCACAAAAAAAAGTTATTAAAATTATATCTAAAATGGTTTTCACCATGAAAACTGTAGCCATGCTTGTTTTCAGTACTTTTTTCATTATATCTTTTGTTGATTCACTTGAATGTCATGATCCTACAACTTCGGCTACCATTCATGCTAATTCTCCACGTAATGATTTATAATCTTATAGGTACAGTTTTATCATTTTTGATTAATATTAATATTGGTTCAATGATTTTGTTAATTTTAATAGATTACTAGATTCTGACCCGCCCTTCAAAGGGCAGGTATATTTTCTGTTTTCAATTTTAGAAATTTCATTTTTTTTCATAATCGTATTTGTGTTTTTCTTTGTAATAATATTTGTGGAAAATATATATTTTTTTTAAAAAATTGATTTGTAAAAGGTTTTGATAATTGTATTGAATTTGTGATGTTGTATAACTATAAACTTGTGCCATAACCATTTCATATATTAATTTTATACTTTATTTCTAAACAATTATTTTTTAAAAATAACAAAATATAGTTATAATTTTATTTAGTAATAAAATAGTAATTAAATAGATAAACTTAATTTTTTTTCATTAAATTTTCATGATTTAATATCATATATAATAATAATGATAACGCTTACACATAATAATTCTTCATGTAATTAAAAATGGGTTTTGTAAATTTTGACCTAATGTATGGTTTATTTTTAAGTATGTATCATGGAAAAAATATTGTTGGACTAAATAAACATTAATATGTCATAATCTTAATTTAATAGAATAGATATTGTACATGTACAATACTTTGATTTTAGTAATTAAATAGTATAAATAATTTGTCATATTACTGTATTAAAAATATAATTATTTAGATTAAGTCATAACGATTATATATATATATTTATTTATTTATCATAATAATAATTGTTTATGTATTGTAACAGATTTAAGTAATACTCGTAATATGTTTGAATTATAGTAAAATATATTTTTATACCTTACAGATTAATTGGTGTGATACCATATATATAAAAATTTATATTCATCTTGGTTCTGTAGAGATTGGTGGTTTTATTTCAATTGGTATAATACCATGTAAATATTAACAATGATTTTAACTGCCATAGTCCCATAAAATAGGAGACCAAATGGTTATTATGGGTGGTTACGTCAATATATTATAGAAGATAGTTATAAAATCTATATATTTAGCAGTTATAATTTATTATTGGACAACACATTTATCAATTGGACATGATCCAAAATTAATACTATTGATATGGGCAGTGCCAGTCCTGAGATATTTCAGGTCCAATACGAAATTAAAAATATGAACTCTAAATGACAACTAAAGAATTAAATATTACAATATTTTTAATACTAGTAAAAGTTTGTTAGTTATAAAATTTATCATTCTATTTTTGTCCTTAAAATAAGGAAAATAACTAAAATTTATTATGTTACATGTATTTTGTTATGTTACATTTTTGATTAGTCTCCATTTTATATATCATATCCTAAAAACGTAACAATAAAAACTGTAAAAAATTTAAGCCATAAATTTTTAAAATTTTAGGTCCCATACAAATGTATCTTGAGTATGTGTTCAAGACCGGGCCTGGATATGTGGGAGACTATAGTATGCTTCAACCTCTCAAGGTCGTGTTATTCTGGAGGGTTTGCAATGTGCGATAAGATTTGTCGGGGTTATTATACTAAGAAGTGTAGTCAGGATCAATTTTATTGTACAAAATTAAGTATGCGTCAATGATAAAATCATTGATGTTTGTTTGAAATAAACATCAATAGCTTTCATGCCTTTTTACCAATAGGTGATCAAGAATAAAATAAATAAATTTTATCAAACTGAAATAAATAAAAAAGAATAAAATATATAAAAGACTATAAAATTAAATTAGTTTGGTTAAAGCCGAGAGTTTTTTTTTATAAATTTAAACAAAATATGAATTTATATCAAAATATTATTTAAAATTTTTGATTGTATAATAAACCAAAAGCTATGACTCATACAGTTTTGCAAAAAAACATGCAAAAATGCTGTTAAGGCAACAAGAAACATGAAGATTGTTTAGTACATTAACACACCTCCCAAGCCACACCCTTTTGGCAGCCAATAGATGATGATGTCCATTGAAACTTGTCCCAAACAGAAAAATCTCTCTCAAAACAAAGATACTTGCAACACTTTCGTACTTTTCTTTGTTAACCTTGTCTACAAAAAAAACTGCTTAAGAATTCTAAAAGCTGGAGTTGAGATCAACTCACTTTGCCCATCTATTTTTGTAACATCTCGACCACCCACGGCTAATGGGCCACCCATTCCCGCTCACTCGGCCTGTGGGTCCATCCCGTTCTAACGGTCGGTCTATTAATTTTCCAAGGCTTTAGAGTCATGTTTACTGACCCTGCAATCACCACCCGACATTTTTCCGTGTTTTGGCCTCACTTACACGGTATCACAAATCACTTCCCGATAGGTCACCCATCCTTTGACTACTCCAGCTCAAGCACGCTTAACTCTAGAGTTCTCTCTGGATGTGCTCCCGAAAAGGTAAGTGCACTTTGGTGACATAGGTAACCAAATCAATTCTCTTAAATCTTTTCCAAATACCACAAACCGGGATGTTACAATTCTATTAAAACACCAACATGTCCTATTGATATATGTGTGGTCCAATTATTTATCATCTATTTATTATTTTACTATAATTACTATTTATCTATTACTTATAAGATATTTTATATCTACTATTTACGCTACTAATTTTTAGGAACCACTTCTCCTAGATATATATATTTATCCAATGGTATTAAATATTATTCTGTCATTTTGGTTAATACATACAGATGATTAACATATAATGTATCTTCTATAATAAAAGTAATGTTTTAACATGTGTGTCGATAGGAATATTACTCTTCACCTATTACTACTTTATAAATATGTCATTATTTCTTATTATTACTATATACTATATCTTCTATCCAATATAATAAATATGTTTCATTCTTATTATTTAGTCATTTAATTCCTAAGTTTAAGATTACTAACATTATTTTATTGATATAATGGCAAATGTCACTTATAACAAGACATGTTACAGTTTTTATTAAACAAAGTTTATTTTTAATTCAATTTTTTTTATAAATAAAAGTCAATATATATTTATTTAGATATAAAAATATCTATTTTATTAAAACAAGATCATGACCAATTAAAAAATATTTGGTCTAACTATTTATTATCTATGTATTGCTCTTTTCTATTAATAATATTAATTTGTTTATATTATTGATAAATGATTGAATACAAATATAATTACCAAATGGCGGGTCAAAATCTAGTTTCTTAATACATTCTTCTCGACTTGAACTTCTCCAAAAGCTGCAACGTTAATTTAATTTTTAAATAAAATTCTTAAAAAAACTTCCTAAAGTCATTTATTTATTTATTTATTTATTTATTTATTTATTTTTCTTCCTAAAGTCATTTTTTCAGTTATTCGGAAAAGACCCCAGAGTTGTCGGAATATCTGAATTTTAAAAAAAATCATAAAGTCATTTATTCAGTTAAGCAGACAAAGCTGGAAAAGAATTCTGTATTTTCCATTAATCGGTTTTACATATAATACCTTCATAATTAGAACTAATTTATTAAGAACACACACCACAATTAACGGGGTTAAATCTAATCTAACCTTCCAATTAATTACTCCACAATTGTCCTTCTTTGTAGAGTTCTCTATATCAAAGTCAAACGAGTAAATATTTATTTGATCCCAACTTGGTTCAATTAGCAAAAGTTAGCTCAAGCTCATAACCGAACTAAATGGTTAAATCTGGAAGTAAAACCGATATTAGAAAACCCAACAGAATCAATCAAACAATGTACTCACCGGTTTACTCAATGAAAATGGGTCAAGCAAACCAACGGATCAACCCGGATGAATCATAATTGGTTATTTGAGAATCTCAAATTTCAAATTTCAAATTATTACAACGGTAGATTAACAATAAAATAGTGGTAAAATTATATTTGTGCGGCTCGTCCCATACCAACGAGGGTAAAAATCAAAAGTTTAAACCGCAAATATAAAACCAAAGAAAACCAAAAACAACTCCGGTTTAAAATCTCGATTTGGCCTTAAACAGAACCAAAACTAAACCGTGATGTACCTGTAGACTTCTCTCTACATGTGAATGGGCTTGTCGTAAGTAGCCATGGCAGCTTCCTTGATAGCCTCACTCATGGTGGGATGAGCGTGACAAACTCTAGCAATATCTTCACTAGACGCATCATAGTTGATCGCTAGAACCGCCTCATGGATCAACTCTCCTGCGTTTGGTGACATAATGTGAACTCCCAAGATCTTGTCCGTCTCTTTATCAGCCAAAATCTTGACCATTCCCTCTGCTGTGTCTATAGCCTTGGCTCTGCTATTAGCCATGAAGGGGAACTTCCCAACTCGGTAGCTTACACCCTCTTTCTTCAGCTGCTCCTCGGTTTTACCAACAGAGGCAACTTCGGGATATGTGTAGACAACACCAGGGACCTTGTCGTAATCCACATGGCCGTGTTTGCCTGCTATAAACTCAACACAAGCCACACCGTCTTCTTCGGCTTTGTGAGCAAGCATTGGTCCTGGAATCACATCTCCAATAGCGTAAACGCCTGAGACATTGGTTGAGAATCTCTCGTTGACAAGGATCCTCCCTACTTTGTCTGTTTCAACTCCAATTTTGTCGAGATCAAGTCCTGATGTGAAGGGAGATCTTCCTGCTGAGACGAGGACAACATCAGCTTCGAGAGTGGTCTGTTCTCCACCTTCTGCAGGCTCCACTATGAGCTTCACACCATCTCCTGAGGAATCCACGCCAACAACTTTAGTCTTGAGCATGAACTTCATCTTCTGCTTCTCTAACGAACGTTGAAACTGCTTGCGGATTTCACCATCCATTGAGGGTACAATATCAGAAGCAAACTCAACAACTGTGACCTCTGAGCCAAGCCGTCCCCATACAGAACCCATCTCGAGACCAATGTAGCCAGCGCCAATGACGATAAGCTTCTTCGGTATCTCAGACAGAGACAGTGCTCCCGTAGATGAGACAATCTTCTTTTCATCAATAGTGATGCCAGGCAAAGACTTAACATCGGAGCCAGTAGCAACAATGATATGCTTCCCTTTCACAACTGTGGTTTCTCCATCGTTTGTTTCCACGGAGACTTCAGAAGGGGAGAGAAATTTACCGTAGCCCTTAACGTAGTTCACCTTGTTCTTCTTGAAAAGGCCTTCGATACCACGGGTGAGATTCTTGACTGCTGAGTCTTTCTGAGCCAACATAGCAGGGAGATCAACCTCAACGGAAGAGACCTTAACACCATGGTTAGCAAAAACGTGCTTTGCCTCATGGTACATGTGGGAAGAGTGAAGAAGGGCCTAAAATACACAAGAAAAATGGACGCTTTATGAGAATATTCATTAAACAGAAGGTAATAAACAATGTACGATAGGTTCATCAAAGCTAAAACAGAGTGTGGAAGAGCCTAACACAAAAAAAACAGAGGGATTTTAACACCATGGTTAGCAACTTAGCAAAAATGTGCTTTGCTTCATGGTATATGTGAGAAGAGTGAAGAAGAGCCTAAATATTCAAGAAAAGTGGAAGCTTTACGAGAATATTCAATTAACAGAAGCTAATAAACAATAATGTAATATAGGTCCATCAAAGCTAAAACAGAGTGTGGAAGAGCCTAACACAATCATACATTAAAATACAGAGTGCTACCAACACCATGGTTAGCAAAAACGTGTTTTGGTTCATGGTACATGTGAGGAAACTAATAGAAGGAAACTAAGAGAATTGCATTCAACAGAAGCTAATAGACAACGTAAGATAGGTTTATCAAAACTGAAACAGAGTGTGGAAGAGCCTAACACAATCATAAGGGACATAAACATTCAAGAAAAAAACTGAAGCTTTATGAGAGAATTCATTCAACAGAAGCTAATAGACAACGTAAGATAGGTCCACCAAAGCTAAAACAGAGCGTCGTAAAAAATAAAAGCTAAAACAGAGTGTGGAAGAGAGTCTAAGCCTAACACAGTCACACAACAACAACAAAAAAACAGAGTGCTATTAACAAGGAACAAGGAGATCTGATTTAGTGAATACATATCATCTCACAAACAGACTCTGAAACCTCTAATCCAATCTAATCTCGTCAAGTTCTTATATAAGTGGATCGAATCTGAATGAACAAAAACAAAAGTTGATTTCTAAGATTGAAATGAATCACCTTTGAAGGAATACATCCAACGTTAAGACAAGTACCACCGAGAGCGCCACGCTTCTCGATACAAGTTGTCTTGAGACCGAGCTGCGCGGCTTTAATCGCCGCCACGTAACCTCCAGGGCCGCCTCCGATGATGACGACGTCGTTTTCGTCGGATCCGGACGAGGAGAAGCCGCGGGAGAGGGAGAATCTGAGAGGGGAAGGGGAGATGTTTCTGGTGAGAAAGGAAGCCTTTCTCCTAGCCAAGTTCGCCATCGCCATCGTTGTTTTTTTTGTTGGTTTTCGAAGGAGACTTTGATTCTTTGAAGAAAGTCGAATAAAGACGAAAGCCCCCACTCACTATAAAAAGGTAGCCTCCTCTACCCTTTGTTTCTTTAGTCGGTTTGGATAATTCGGACCACAATAAAAGGTTAGGACCGGTTCAATTGGGTGGGTTTAGATATTTATGTTAGGAGTAGTATCTATACTATTAAAAGAGAAGGAGTCTAAATAAATCTACTTAAAAAAGTTGTTTGGACCCTTTCATTATACTAACATTTTTTTTTATCTTTCCTTATATTTCTCTAACAATATTGTACAATAAAATTATATCATATAACTTACCTTATATTTCTCTAACAATAAATTAGTCAATATTCTTATTTATTATACATTACTCTTATTGGTCAATATTTTTATTTCTCCACAATACATTATTATAACCTTATACCATATAATTTCATAATACGTGACTAATTTCACACATTAAACAAAAAATATATCATTTGCTTGAGCCACCAACTGTGCAACAGTACCCTCTATCATTTCCATTGATTAATTTTCATAGCTGATGTTTGATAAATAATGTTTGATAAATAGAGTATAAAATATATTGAACATCTCCATTCATGATAAATATGTTTAAAACCAAACATATTATTATTTTTAGAGTAAACCTATCTATAACATAGTATATTGTAATAATACAAAAACCGGTTTATTATCATAGTATTCTAATGTTTGGGGATATTTAGAAAAACAAGTTATAAAATTAATGATTTACTATTCTAGAGAAACTATTTTAAAACATTAATTTTGTTTAAAAAGATATCTAGACTCGTGAAAGATTGTAACTTATAATTTCAATATTTTCATGAATAATTTAATTTCTATGTATTTCCAGTGTGGTAATTTCTAATTTCCAGATATGTAGCGGGTAGGCTTGGATAGTTAGGATTCAAAATACCAATAAACCCGAAAAAATATTTGAAAAATACTTCAAACCATAAATAAATACTCAAAATATATTCAAATATCTGAAAACCTTGAATTTTACCTAATCTGACTCGAAAAACAAAATATACCCAAAAATTTGATTTGAATATCCAAAAAAAAAGAAAAAAAAAAAATATATATATATATATATTTTAGAACCTGAAACCTAAAACTGTAACTAAAACTTAAAAAGAATATACATAATACCAAAAACATATATGAAATATCCAAACATATATAATAAAAAAAAATATTGAGTGCTTTTATGTACCCGATCGGGTCTCGGTTATGATCTATACTAGAATCGATTCCTGCGGGTCTTTAAAGATAGCCAGTAAGTACATTATCATGGATCCTAGCCGAACCTATATTTTCGGGTCGGTTTGGTCGTGTTTTTCGATCCGGATAAAATGTCAAGCCCTAGAGAGAGTTACATTAAAAACTTACATATAAAATCTCAAATAAACTAATTTATAAATTACATAATTTTTCAAAAAATATATTTTATATATTAAGATTTGTAGCCTAATAATGTACATCATTTCTAAAATACTAAATCATATCAAAATTTGTTTATAATCTAAAAAAAACCCGCGCTTTTGAAGCGCGGGTCAAAATCTAGTTAAACATTACAAAATAATAAAATCATACCATAACTGATAGATGATACTCCTAATTATTCAAGTTATATATGATGAGACTTCATGGTGTACTATTTTACATATGGACCAACCACTTATTAATATATTGTTTGACTATATGCAAAGTGAATATATATAAATGATATTCTCTTTTTGTTTCTAAATAAATGTTATTCTACCTTTTTTTTTTCAAAATAAATGTCATTTTACATTTTCAATGCAATTTTTACACATAATCTCTTTCTTATTCTTTTAATCAATCAACAGATTATTTTTTAAAATTGTTTTTATTTAAATAAGTATACATTAAATGAGGATAAATTAGTAGATTTTCTCATTTTTTTAATATGTATGAAATATGTCAAAATGACATTTATTTTGAAAAAGAGAGAGTATGAAATAAAGAAATGGAGATGAAGATTAGAGAAAGGAAGAGAAGAGTATATTCTTTATGAAATCTGTAAGAAATGAAACAGAAAAGAGAGATTAAAACTTTATAATATGGATTCTCCTCTAATCTTAAATCAGTTTTTGTAATCCTATACTGGAGTAAATAGCCAACCAAACACATCATCAAAATTGGCTACAACACTTTGCCTACAACACATAAAAGAAATGGAGATGAGGATTAGAGAAAGGGAAGAGAAGAGTAGATTCTTTATGAAAATCTCTAATAAAACAGAAAAACAGAGACTAAAACTTAATATAACCTTGATTTGCCTATAATCATAAATCAGTTTTATGTACATAAGTGCTCAATAATCACATCATCAAAATTGGCTACAACACTTATGCACATCTTAAACAACAAACAAGAAGTATAAGTCCCTTCATCTTCTTCTCTGTCTGTTTCATTTTTATTTCATCAAATATCAGAGAGATGTAAATGTCATCAAACAATCATATGCCTTGAGGAGGAGGTTTTTTTTATCTCTCTGTTTTCTATGTTATATACTCCCTCTGTTTCTAAATATAGGATTTTTTGGGTTTTTTCTTTGTTCCACAAAGTAAGATTTTCTGTAAAATATTAATGCTTTTTCATTTAAAATCAACTCAGTCAATTTGTATTTACGAGAACTTCTTAAATGTTTTTTGGATAAAGACAAGTTCTTTTTGTTAAAGTTCAGTTCCTCCACGCCAACTTCATTTTATTCTTTACAGTTTACTTTTTTTCTAAAGTGGAAAAAAACTTGAGAAGATACCATGTTGCAAGTAAAGTGCGTGAATTAACAAAAAAACCTGAATTGATCTGAGAATAATCTTCATCTTCATGAATAGGAAATGTTGAAATATTGTTGGATGAAGTAAACTCTCTTGTTGGACTTTTATTCAAATCAAACAAAAATTCTCTTTCATTGCTTTCAAATTGTATATTTAGGTCAAAATCATGAAAATCCATGAAAAAGTTTTACTTAAATGTTGAAAAATGATCTCTTAATATAGAATATTTATAGAACATGATCATAATAATTTGGCTCTGTTCTAAAATTCTACTTTGGCTCTTTTCTAAATTTCACATATTGTTTGGCTCCATTCTAAAATTTTACTTAAAAAAAATGTAGTTTGGCTCCATGTTTGAAATTTTTTACGAAATTGAAATGATTTGTTACTAATTTACATTCACTTTTCAAAGAATATGAAGAGGCGAGAAGGTGTGTGCAAAATTGATCAAAGAAACTCTTGAAAATAACTCCAACTTAAAGAGATGAGAAAGAATAATATTAGATCTCTCGAAGCAAACGTACACACATTAAAGCAAAGGTTAAGCAAAAAGTGCATTAATTATATCTTAATCTACGTGAAACACCCAAAAAATCCTATAGGAACGGAGGGAGTACATTTCTCCCCCTCAAGACCAACACGTTAGCCTTGTAGCATCGCCTGTAACCGAGCTCTAGCTTCATCAGAAACACAAAACCGTAATCTTCTCCTGTGAGGAGTTGGAAATGACGACGTGAAGCAGATGATCAACACTGTTACATTATCTCCTGAGTCAAGCCTGAACGCTTCCTTTCCAAGTTCCATCGCACATCTCCTCGGGTCACCATGTCTCCTCAGCTCTTGCCTCGCAAACGAAACAGCATACTGACTCGTCATCACGTCCCAAACACCGTCACATCCCAATATCAAAAACTCATCTCCCTCCGTCAAAACCATCTGCTTAATCTCCGGTTCCGAGATCAGAGACCCTGAACGCCTCTTCACTGACCAGTCTCCAAGAGCTCTTGTAACTGCGAGCTCACCGTAAAGATACTCCTCTTCAAAGTACCCTCCAAGATCCTTCACCCGTCTCCGCTCCGTCTCAGAAGTAAACTTGTGATCAAACGACATATCAACAGCTTTCCCTTTCCTGCTTAGCACTGCACGAGAATCACCTACATTAGCAACCATCAAGTACCGTCCCATCACAAGAGCTGTCAATGCAGTTGTTCCGCAAGAGTCACTAACAATTCTTTCATCTTCCATGGCCTTATCAGCTACCTTATAAGCTTCCCTATGAGATCTCTCCACTTCTTGCAAGAAAAAAGTGTTCACAACAAAGGGTGAGTCTCTGAAAACAGAGTCTTTAAAGAACAATCTTGTTGCATTCTCTTTGATATACTGTGAAGCCGCAGATCCACCATGACCATCAAAGACACCGTAGAAAGAAACAGGCAATGGAAATTTAAAGAAGGAAGAGCCGAGATGAGCTGAGAGGTCGTCTATGCATATGTGTTCATCTTCCATGTTCTCTCTGAGTTCACCCTTATCCGCATAACTACCAGAACTTATCTTAGGGACAAACTCACTAGTAACAGGCTCCTCAACAGCAGTTGCAGAACATGTCTTGACCTGTCAGATAAGAAAAAAAAACAGAGAATTCACAAAACAGAACATAAAGGCGACAACTTTATCAAATTCACAAACTCTGTTCTTTAACCCTAAAAAAGTCAAAGTCTTTGATGCATAATTTGACCTTAAAAACAATCAAAAGCATCGAAATTGCGATAAACCCTACACACACAAACACACACACATACCGATCTTAACAGAGGAGTCTCTTCAGGAGGAAGAGGAATGTCAATACAAACAGAGTCATGGATTCGAACTTCAGCAATGAGATCTCGAGACTTAACGACACTGATCTCAGCGGGAGTTTCAACGACGACGTTTTGACTCAGAAGCATCGATTTAGCTCTTCTGAAGAACTGAAGAACGAATCTGATTACAAGATCCTTGAGAAGACAAAGCTGTTGTGTGAAAAGCAGCCATTTTTCGGTGAGTGAAGAAGATGCTCTGTTTGTACGCATTTTGATTCTTTTTTTTTTTGGAGAAATATTAAAGAAATAAACAGAAGTTTTATGTTGAGTATATATACCACTAGTATATAAATATTATATTCTGTTTTAAGATAAATTTTTTGATAGTATTATGTCTTTTTTGGTAAAAATTCTTATTAGTGTAAAATATCTTTAAAAAGGTATTTTTAAAAATTCATGAACCTCTGATAATATTATATATTGTTTGTTAAAAATATCTTATTAGTAAATATCTATAAAAAGGTGATTTTTAAAATGCATGAACCTCTTGTGTCCACCACACTTTATTTGTTAATTTGGTGCTGGATACCTCAATTAAGACAAAAGATTGTTAATTAATATTGTACTTTGGTGGCCAGTGGTGAGTTACACGTGGGAAACATGGCTGTAAAGTGGTGGAAAATCATTTACCAATCAATCCACCGCCACCGTATAGCTCTTACCTCACTTGATGACCGAATAAATTTGCAAAGTGATGGAAAATCATTTACATATAAATTGACTAAAATACAAGATTACATTAATATAGGGTAAATCTATAAAACATTATTAACAATTTAATTCGATTAAAGCTAACTAATTATTTGTTTACTTTTTTTGATTGTCAAAAAGAAAAAACTAAAAACGACTTTTTCATTTAAAGAAAAGTCGAACTCCAAAGTTCAAAGGGTGACGTTGCTTGGTTACTAGTTCCTGTCAATTTAGTAGACGATTTTTTTTTTTTTGAGCAACTTTAGTAGACGATTATGATTCATTTAATTCCCTCTTTGGAAAAAAATGTGGCGTGTCTAATTTCTTATCGCGTGTTCATACGGCTATAGGTTTGTACACTTTTGTTTAACATCGACCATATATATCCATGAGTTAGACCGTTTAATGTAATTTTCAAAGTATCAATTGACGAATTAGTGACGAGTGACGACTATCCAGTCATATCTATACTATTAAAGCTGAAGTACAAAAATAAAGTGTTTGGAAACATGAATAAGAAAATTTTAAAAGTTTGATTGGAAACATGGATATCATACAAATTTAATGGGCTTATTTATTATACTAAAGATTACTGCGGCCCAAGGTACCATTATTATTGTTTTTGGATTTTCTATCATTGATATTACTTTACTTCTAAAAATTATTTATACATATATGTATTCATGTTTTAAATGTATTTAGAATAAATCAAGAATAGTATATACTTTATTTATATAATTTATATTGACTATTCTTATAAGTTTTTAATAGTGATATACTAGCCTTCCAATTCTTCATTAAAAATTAAATTCACAATTTGACTAAATTATTTAGTGTATATAACTTTACACCAAATTTAGTCAAAAAACTTTTTAAAATATTACTAAAATGTTTACGAGTCACAATATTTTAAGACGTCTCTGTTACACAATACAATAATGAAATACAATATTTAAACAATATACTATTACTTAGTAAAATTGGCATCATTAAATTGTAATTTTGAAAAGTTATATATACCATAAAGCCAAAGATCCGCCCAGTCGGGCGGGTTATGATCTAGTACTTAGCTTAAACCAAAACGAGATAATGAATATCATAAGCACGTTTATTCTTTTACTATGCTGAGGTTACTTCTTTGATTTGTCTAAATGATTTTGATATTCACAATTAATTTAAGAAATATAAGAAATATTTTTTTTTCCTTCTTTGTCTAAATGATTTTTTTTTTTTTTTTTAAGAAATATTATTATTTTTTTTTTCCTTCTTTGTTAAGTTTCATATTACTTTACTTTAGTTGACTGCATAATACGATTGTGTAAACAAGTAAACAACTCTTCAAAAAAGAAGATGCTACTGATAAAGAAACATGAAAAACCGAAGTAGTAAAACCAAAACACAGAGTTGTTAAGTTTCATGAAGACTACAAAAGCATCAAGTTCTTAATAAAGATAGAGAAAAAAAGAAGATCTTACCAAGTTTAGCCATTATCTTATAAGTGGTAACCAGCTTCTGCCGCACATCACTGCGTTAGCAGCTTTGGCATCCATGGAAAGAACAGACTCAGGAGGCTCTCTTTTGTCCGAAACATAAGCATCATAAGACGTGGCACGTGAGATGGGTATGGAGAGAATGTCACGAGCTACACGGGAAAGGACTGGATACTTTACGCTCTTCTCTTTCCACCATTCCAATGCTTTGAAGTCTTTGTTCCACTCCATGATCGGCTCTTTGAGATATGAATCAAGCTCTGATTCACCAAACTCTCTTGGAGAAGATCCTTCAAACTTGAGAAATTCCTGAAACAAAACGAAGTCTTTGTATCCATCAGGCTTCTCCTTCTCTTCCTTGTCCTCTTCTGCTTCATCATCATCACCATAATCTTCATCTTCTTCCTCTTCTTCAGAGACAACTGTATCAACAGAGCAGATTGGATTCTGACAGAACTCACTAGCTGCGTAACGAGCAAACAAACTGCGCAAATAGTCCAAAACAGTCTCAGCTTTAGACCCTTCATCACTCTCAATCTTCTTAGAGCAGTAAAACTCAACATACTTCAACTTAAACCTCGGATCCAACACAGACGCACTAGCCAAAACCAAGAACATACCATCCCAATACTTATCAAACATCTTCAACACCTTCTTACCCATCCTAACAAAATACTCACTCTCACCAGAATCAACCTCCTTCTTCAACATCACCTTAAGCTCAGCAAGAAGATGAAAATACACATTAGCCGTCGCATACCCTTCTTCAAAGAGCTCCTTAGCCACTTTATAAACACACCCACCAAGCTTACAAAACGTCTCAATCTGTACCCACTCCTCATCAGAAGGCTTATCATACTCATCATAAATCTCATCTTTAGAGAAAGCATCATCCTTATGCATATCAAAAGCTAGCTGGTAATGATAAAGCTTAACATTCCAGTTGGGAGCTGAAAAACATCTTCCCCACCCAACCAACATACGAAGCTCCTCATACAAATACCACCTAAACCTACCACACATCTCATCAATCATTAACCGGAACAAATCAGCACAGCAATAAACCACAAGAACCGGTTCTTCTCCCTCCCCCACTCCCATACATTTCTTTATACCATCAACAGTCTTCTCATCAAAATCCTCATGATTAGGCAAGAGTATCGCCGACACTTAACTCCCAATCTCAAAACTCTCAACAGCTGTTCGGAAATGGTGAATGTAAATATCATCCAAAGGTACCTTAGCGCCTGTAGTGTAACCTAAGATCCAATTTCGAACCTTCCAGTTATTGTCGATGAAATGAGCAGTGAGAGAGGTGAAATGCTCGTGTTTAATAGGGCCTCTGATGTCGCCTAGGTTGTTAAGAAGCAACCATTCGTAAGAGAGTGTTAGCTTCCCTTGAAAGTCTTTGAGAAAGTTTTTAGCTTTGGCTTTGCGGTCTTCGTGTATCTTTAGGACTTGTTTTCTGATGGAAGATGGAGTGATTCCTAACCAGTTGGACATTGGGTTATTATTATCACCATCTGAATCCTCATCCTCAGACATGTCTTCTTCAACGTCATCTTCTGCTTCCTCCACAAAATCATCTTCAATGTCGTCCATGAGATCGTCTACAGTGTCGTCTACAAAATCCTCTATGTTTTGATTCTTCATCGTTTCTACATAGACGATTAAAGCAGGCAACCATTAAAACCCTAATTTTTTGTTATTGTAATAAACCCTAGTTCCGTACAAAATCATGAGAAGATAACATGAATCTATGTAGGAGATAAAATAAGAAACAAAAACCTGAATCAGAGCCGGAATCGAGATCACTGTTGTTGTCCATTGCTAAAGGGTAGCTCTTCTGTGTTGAGGACTGAGGAGACGAAGGGGAGAGAGGATTTAGGTTATGTGAGAGAGAGAGAGAGACTTGACGGTTCCGATTTTCTATATACTGTGTAAGATCTTTTTTGTGATTTAGGCGGGAAGATTATAGCTACCTACGTGGCCTTCAGTTAGTGGATGTTTTCTCCTTTTCCAAGGTTTGAGTATAGAGGCGGTGGATCGGACGGTTGGTAATTAAAGTAGTGGACGGATGAGATTATTTTAAATATTTGTGTTTGGATTTTGTGATTTCATTAATGGTAATCTCTATAATATTATTTGAGAAGTCAGTTTCCTACGTGTCGCGCTCACGTTAACTCTCGATATGGTTGATTACATAGATACCCTTAATAAATAGGGGGATTTTAAGTTTATTATTAATTTTTTTATTAAGTTTCTTTTTTACCTTTTCCAAATAACATATATAATAAAAAGGAAATATTTCTAAAATTTTAAAACAGATTTAAAAACGAAAATATATGTATATAATACGACTTTATTAAAAAGGAAAGTTCACAAAATAGTAATATACCCCATTAATATATATATTTTAAATAACATATAATATATTTTCAAAATAATAAAATTATATATGTTCATGAACATCCAAAATTTATCAGTTACACTTTATTTTCTAATAGTTTTTAGAAATCAATATATAATTTGATAAATATTATGAAAATACTTGTATATTTAAGCGATAAATAAAACTAATTTGATTTGACTTAACTAAAATAAGGAATAAATCAATATTATGAAAATAAATGTATATTTAAGCGATAAATATAAATAATTTGATTGGACTTCACTAAAATAAAAAGCAATTATACTTCAATTTTAACTCAATATACTCACAACATGAATGACTCGAACAATCTAATTTATATCCAAAATTAAACATCTGACTACAATAAGCACATATAATATTATAGTAATAATATTCTATTTAATTTTATACATATAAGTTAGAGGTTGACTCAAAGCATATTAAAAAGAAAAAGAAAATATTAACCAATTACAATTTATTCTTTTGTAGAATTTATATATATGCATGAGACTTCAAAATGTTATCATTATATTCATTTATGTAATTTTGAATCAAACACTTCAGCTTATTATTTATTTTAGTTTAAGCACAATATATATATATATATATATATTAAG